TATATTAAGGTATTTAACTGGTAGTGGTATGTCACTTTATGCCTTTAATTAGTCACATTTTGAATTTTAAAATAAGTGAATTTTATATTTTTTATAGGAAAAAAATCCTCTTCCTTGGGTGTCAGTGATTTCTCCCCTGATCTAAGCAGTAACTCTATAGATCACCCTGTGCTGGAGTCTCCAGCAGTTTTAGTTAGTATATCTTATAACCTTAGCTGAATTAAAAACAAAATGGAAAACACTCTATGCCTCTATTTTATTAGCGGAAATAAAAATTTCCTTTTCCTTCTTCAACACTATTTTTTAACCACTCAGTAACAGAACAAAATTCCCCTTACCTTTTTTTTCCCCTTTTTTGTTTTATAGAAGGTATTTTGTTAGATTTTCTGGGCTATTTATCTTAATTGAGAGCGGTCCTACTGTCAGTTATATTTTTGTTTTCTCTGTCTCCTCCTGGTTGATAAATGGCAACATGTTTTTTTGCTAGGAGCGCAGAATGGCAGCTCTTGAAGAACTTGCCCGACTCTTGAGGCCTGGTGGGAAGGCACTCATTTATGTGTGGGCGATGGAACAAGAGTATAAGAAGAAGAAGTCCAAGTATCTCAGAGAAAACAGAACTAGTCAAGGAAGGCAAGAGATCAACAGTGATCCATCAGCACAGGAGCAGTTTGTAGAGCCAGTGCCTGACACGGGCCATCAAGATTCAGCATGTTCCGTACCCTCCATTAATGACTTTCAGAAAGGAAGATGTAATTCAAAGGAAGTTGCTAATTGCAAGCTGCCTATTCACACTAACAGGACTTCTTTTCATTCTCAAGACTTACTGGTTCCCTGGCACCTTAAGGGAAATGCAAGTAAAGAAAAACCTACTGAGCCATTTGGTCCAGCAGGAACCCATGACCCAGGCCCTGTGTTTCATCGTTACTACCATGTGTTCTGTGAGGGAGAACTGGAAGCTGCCTGCCAGACTTTGAATAATGTCAGCATTCTGCAGAGCTACTATGACCAGGGGAACTGGTGTGTGATTCTTCAAAAGGTCTGATGATCTCAATGAACATATCATAGACAGGAAAGAAACACAGCTTTTTTCTTAAAAAGCAGACTAAATTAGCAGTCTTTTTTGTTGTTGCTGTTGTTAATCCTCAACCAAAGATATTTTTCCTTTGATTTTTAGGGAGATTGGAAGAGAGAGGGAAAGACAGAGAGAAACATTGATGTGAGAGAAACACATCAATTGGTTGCCTCCTGCACATGCCCTGACCAGGGCTCAGCTGGGGAGGAGCCTGCAACCAAGGCACGTGTCCTTGACCCTTTGGTCCGCAGGCCGACGCTCTATCCACTGAGCCTAACCAGCTAGGGCAGCAGTCTTTTTAATTATAGAGAAAACTTGTAAAGTACTAAAGGAGTGCACCTGAGAGTTTGAAAGTGGAGATTAGTTAGGAAACATTCAGTCTACTACTATTGCTGACCTTGTTTTACCCATACATGTAGGCTTCTTCTATAGGGAGGAACAGGGATGGTTTTTTATAAAGTAATTATAGTTTGTGAAGTATTTGGGATCCAGGGATAAGTGTATAGCATTTTGAAGATAAACTTTTGTTATAAAGTGTTACTAAATGAATTAAATTATGTAGAATCATGTAGAAGAAATCATATACTTTAATAAAGAAAATTTGTTTAGTAGAAAGTTATCTGAAATTTTATCTGTGATTTCTTAGCTCCATTCAGTCATGGATGATAACTACGCTGCCATCGCTCCTGACTAGCATAGGGATTGACACATAGTAGGTGCTTAGCAAATTTTATTCAGTTAGATAATACCCATACATTAGTAGGAGCTTCATCCAACAAATACTTACTGAGCCTCTACTGTGCAGAAGTTACTGTTGTAAGTACTGGGAGGGAAGCAGTGGACAGACAAAGAACAAAGTCCTTGTCCTTGTGGAGCTTACGCTGTAGAGGGGAAGACAGACAATAAGTAAATACATAAATAATGCTACTACCAGGTAATGATAAATGCCATGGGAAAGCAAAACAGGACTGGGGGTTACCCAACAACAAGATTAGTTCTAAAGGGCTGAAGTAACTACTAATTCTGCCTGACGTTTTTTGCCAAGAGTTCATTGGTATTCCTGATGCATTGATCTGGGTGCTGAAGGGATCCCAAATATGCTCTTAACGCCTTTATTTAAATAGCGCAAGTTAGAGTTGTCAGTCTGACCTAATTGTGCTCTTACAGCCAAATCTTTGGTGTCATTATTGGGTATTTCTAGTTTATTCATGGTTTGTTCCAGTCCAGGAGCATTCAGGGGTTATTTTTCAACTAAAAATATTTCATAGTTACCAATTAACTTACCAGTTAGTCAAGTTTCCAGAATGAAACAAGGTTAGAAAGTTAACTGTAGGTCAAATAATCACACAGAAGGGAAAATCGTGGATTTTTTTAATACTTTACTTCCAGCATGCAGAGTTTTTCTAATAGAACTACTTAGATTACTTAAAAATTGCTTTGTTACTGTTAGTGATGCTTAATAGACAAATCCACAGTTATAGTTGGAGATTTCAATAATTGATAGAATAACTACATAGTATAAGAGTAGCCTTAAACAACATAATTCACTAACTTAACCATATTGACATTTATAGAACATTCTAGCCAATGACAGCAGAATACACATTCTTATGAAGTACACAAGGAGCATTTACTGAGAAAGACCATCATTTGGGTCATAAAACAAGACTCAATACATTTAAAAGAATTAAAGTCATACAAAATATGCTCTCTGGCAACAATGAAAATAAATGAGAAAGTAATAGCAAAAAGATCTCTGGAACAATCCTCAATAATTTTGAATATAAATAACCCATAGATTAAGGAAGTATTCAAAAGGGAAAATAGAAAGTATTTTGAACTGAATGAAAATGAAAGCACAACACACTAGAATTTGTGCAAAAAGAAATTAACGTAGCAAGCCTGACACTGCTATCCTTGGCTAGAATCTGAAAACTTAGATTTGGGGGGCAGAGTAGGGGAGGGGTGTTTCCCACCACCCTAATAAGAGTGGGTCACTGTGGAATTTGGGTATATGCCAGGCAAAGGGTGCCTACCTGGCCAACCCCCAATGAAAAGCTGGGTGTTGTCACTAACTGCTTCCCTATTTGGCAACATTTCACATTTTTTATTATAACTTCTTGTTGGGGAATTAGGCATGACTCCACTAGGAGAGGACTCTCAGAAGCTTGTGCCTGGCTTCCTGTGGCCCTCACCCCACGTACCCTTGTGCTCACTGTGCCATCCTCCTGCTGTAATAAATCATAACACTGAGTATGGCTATGTGCGGAGTCCTGTGAATCCTAGCGAATCACTGAACCTGGGGGTAGGCTTAGGGCCTCCCAACACACTGCTAAGGTAGTACGTAGGGAGAAAGTTATGTATAGCACTAAATGCCTATGGTAGGAAAGAAGAGAGATCTCAAATCCGAGGATCTCAGCTTTCTTCTTAAGAAACTAGAAAAAGAAGAGCAAAAAAAATGCAAAGTAGGCAAAAGAAAGGAAACAAAGAGCAGAGCAGAGATCAATGAAATAGAAAACAAAAACAAAGTCAATGAACAAAAGCATATTCTTGGAGGAGATTAATAAAATTGATAAACTTCTAGCCAGACTGAGTTGACCAGGGACAGAATTCTATGATTTTTATAATTTCAAAATGCAATCAATAAAACATAAGATAGATTCTCATGTACCAACTTTTCAAGACAACGCTTGTTTGAAAAAGGTTTATTATTTAATTAACAAAAATTTTTTTCATAAATATTTATAGTAGTATTACTTCAAAGGACAACCCAATATAATTACATAATTTTCTATAATAAATATGTTGAGGAAAATAAGACACTGCTTATATACTAAATAATTGTGATTTTAGCCAGTTCCTAAATGTGTGAATATTGTGCTTGAGAATTGAGATTCCAGGTAAAGCCAGTAAGCCATGTTGACTAACTAGAAAGATAAAAATTCTTAAAATGTATCACTTATTCTTTTTGCTAATTGGAATATTTTTCTATTCTCTGACATTTTAAAAAGAAAATTAGGAGAAGTTCTTTCTTTGCATCAGTCCCTTCATTGCTTTTCTGCTTTGAAATAGCAACCTCCACTGTCAGTCAAGAATTCCCTGAGCAATAAGATCATTGTTTTTGCCAGGACATTAAGTCAACTCACAGAATGTTTTCCACGGAAGTGGGCAGAGAGTATGTTTCTTCTCTTTAGACTACCCCATTTTTCAGTGGCTGCCAGATGCCCTGGCTCCCATCTGTGTAGTTTTGTCTGCCCCTTGAAGCCGAAGAAGGAAAATGTCAAGGGTAAAATTCTTTTCTTGGCCTCCCCTAAGGGAAAAAACAAGTAAACCCAAAGGCAATCCCCCCATTCCCTGAAAGAGCTTTGCAAAGACCTTGAAAGGATGCAAGGGTAGTGATTTCATTTTTTCTTTTTTAATATATTTTTATTTATTTCAGAGAGGAAGGGGGAGAGAGAGAGAGAGAGAGAGAGAGAGATAGAGAGAAAGAGAGAGAGATGAGAGAGAACATCATGATGAGAGAGAACCATTGATCGGCTGCCCCTGCACACCCTATTGGGGATGGAGCCTTGGCCAGAATCGAACCTGGGACCCTTCAGTCCACAGGCTGACGCTCTATCCACTGAGCTAAACCAGCTAGGGCAAGGGTGGTGATTCTTACCATATGCTCATAAATTCACCGTTTGGGCTGGTGTAGAAAACATGAATCTTGGAGAATGTGGATTATTGTAATTTACAACTTAATCAGATGGTGACTGCAATTGCAGCTGCTATTTTTTTTTTAATTAAAAAATGTTTAACTGCCACAATGGTTTTATTTTGTCACTGACAAAAGGCACAACACTGATTGTGTCACTATTTGGTGTTAATATCACTTAACTATGCATTAAAAATATATGTTTACATTTAAGAAATGTAACATTAAAGAAGTCCTCTGGATACTAAATCCTCAATATATTTCCCAGTTTTGTTTCATACATAAATAACTTAATCTACAAAGTCATAAATAAACTATTAACTCTTATGGCCTAAACGTATACACAAATTTTGGAGCTTGACAACAGTGTCTTATGGTTTTATAAATAACAATGCAGTTACTATTTATTATTATCAAATAAATGACTCATCATCACACATTCTTAATGTCTCCCAACCAGGTCCAATAATAGACCTTCCAGTGCACTTGGTAAAGATACCATGCATTTAAAAATTCAAAATAGTCTAGATATTTAAAATGGTACAGAAGGTAGCCATTTAAATATTACTAAATCTTACTAAAATCACTTCAGTTTGTCTGAAGAACAAAAAATGCTGCTAAAAAGTAAATGTTTGAACTATCATTCAAATGGAAGCTAACAACATCTCAAATAAAACAGATTAAGTTTGTATTAGTGTTGGGGAAAATATTCCATTGAGACTTTGTTACAGAAACAGAATCAATACTATTTTAAATGTTCTTATATTTATTTTGAACCAAATTTTTATTAGTTAAATGTTTCAGGGTAAAAATAATGACACAAAGATAATCTTAGACATTATTGAATATTTGATTATTTGGTTCTTCTTTAATGACTTTACTCCTTCATAAAATAGTAACATATTTGTTGAATGACATCTGTTTAGTGCTTAAATAACCACTAGTTAGCTACTGAGTTATTAGATCAGCACTCAAGATATATTAGATAAGCACTTAAATTATTTTTATGTAATAAAAATGAAAATAATTAGGCATTATTTTTTTGGCTGTCATTTATAGAGTATAAAACTTAGAAAGAAAAACATTATTAATATGCTCAAACTTAAATGATTCAAAAGACAAATAATACTAAATACTATCATTACTTTTGAAATCTGAGTTGATAAAAGTTTAATTTTTCTATCAATTCAAAATTGACCTGGTTCACACTATTAACTGCCAGACAAACTTTATGTTTAAAAAACTATTCCTTGTTAATGAAGGTTTTTTGTGCTCTTGTAAGAGACAAGATTCTGGCATACATAATGAATCTAAATAAAAACTCACAAATGGTGGTTGAAATTCTGTCAGCTCTGAGCCCAGTGCAATATAAATCCAGTCATTTTGCATAAACGGTTCAAAATTAAAGTTTATAATGGAAACGTCAACACGTCATAACCG